GGGGCCGTGGCACGGCCGGGGTGGCTGTGGCACAGCTGGCAGCCGCGGGGCATTTAAGGCCCACGCAGGTGATGGTGCTCGCTGCTGCAGCATCCACAGCTGGAGCACATCTGGGCGGCAGCAGAGCTGGCAGCTACGGCCCAGCCGGCAGCAGGTACAGCTGGCACTGCGCACATCTGGTGGCGCGCCCACCCCCGGGGGCACAGGGCACAGGTTACCTCCGCTGGCTCCCGAAAGCCGCTGCAGCTGTGCCAGGCTTGGGTTTACTTTCTCCGTGACTCGCAGGTGGTGTCGGGCCTCTGCTCTTTCAGGTTGCGGCTGAGGTAATTAGGAAGGAATTGAAGATAGGCAGGAAGACTGTTTCTCATTAAGATCATCTCATTCACCCTGATTTCTGTCAAAACCAGTCACTCTCCCAACCAGACACGCAGTAGAGTAATTTTGTTTGTCTTTTCTGTGGTCTTGCACATTGCTCTCAGTCCTGGCTCATTTGCCAGGATCCCTTTGGTCTTTTCCAGTCACCGTTTCCCAGGAGGGAGCACCCCCTCCTGAAGAATGACTCCCATCCTTTGTTTCTTAACAGATGACCTTATATATTGAAACGAATGTTGTTTACTTGAGCTCAGCACTAGTTTAGAGTCAAGAGCCGATTCCCAAAGGACTCTCCTGGATACGCTAACCAAATGAGGAATCTTCTCCCGTAATTACATTTCTGGGACAGCAGACATTTTCTGATTCATTTAATATGTGCTGTGTTGCATTCGTTACAAATCAGATATGTAACAGAAGCCCTATTACCTTAAAAGTACTGCTGTTATCAAGTACTGACTTAATTACAGTTTTATCCAAAAACAGATCAAGTTAGCTTGACAGAGTCCATTTTTCCCACTCCCCTGCTGCCCAGCGTTGTTTCCTTCCCTTCGGTTCCTGCTCCATCGAGCCCAGCATCAATCCGCTGCCGCAGCCTTTCCCCGAGAGCAGGACCGGGCTGGCAGGCCACCGTCGCTGAGAGCCCACCGGCACACTCGCTTTTCACTCGTCCCAGTCTTCCAAAACTTACTGAACATGAACACAAAGAGCCCCGGAGGCTCCTCTGGGCTCAGGTTACCTGGCTCTGGCGACTTTTAACCTTTCTGACTTTGGGAGCTGCTGACACCCAGGTAATTCCTACGGGCAGGGAAGTGGTGCATTGCCCGTTGCTTCTTACAGCCGCACTTTGCCATCCATAGCTGCTTTTGTTTATAACCCCCCCCAAAGGTAAGGCCCGTAGCTGATATCTGACTGTTATCATCACTTTTTCCTCCGATTGTTATGTGGTTTCCATAGCTTTCATAGCTGCCCCCACTTCCCTGGAAGGCAAGCCAAACCAGCTTTCTTCCCACTTGGGAAACGGCTTTGTTAGCCCAAGCGGTGTCCGTCACCGGTAGCGGTGGCTCTGAAAGAAAGGTGGAAAAGTCCCGTCTACGTATGGCCCCGTCAGAGCATGTGTCGCTAGAGCTGTTGTGGCTGGTCCCCGCGCTGTGCCTCTGCTGGGCGTGCTGGCAGGGTCACAGTGCGAGTGCTGCAGCTCCTGGGCTGGAGGAAAAGACCGCGCCTGGGAAGAGCCGCCTTCTCCGGACGCGTCCCGTGCAATTTCCCACTGCCTGCCAGCGTCTCCCAGCCGAACCCATCCTGCTTTGGGAAGGGCTCACCATGCAGCAGCTGCTTCCAGAGCCGCACAAGGACCTTCCCAGGGGAGCACCATGGGGCTGTGCTCCATTGGCTTCTCCCCAGAGCACCCCGGGCACCCAGCCCAGCCCCGCAGGCTGCACCAGGCGTCAGCCCAGCGCCCAGAAGGACTGGGCAGCAAAAGCTTTAAAATACATTTTGCTGCATCTGGAAAGCATGCGACGCTGATCACCAGTCCTACCACATTCATATTTTACTGACTGGTTTTAATTTTATTTCCCACATGTTTGACAACGGAAACAGATTTCTCTTTCCTCGTTTTGGCGTAAGCAGGCTGCAGCCTGCGGTGCCGGCGGGGCTGTGGGTGCTGGATGCAGGCGCTGCGGGGGGGCCAGACCTGGCAGGACCGCGCTGGACCCCAGGAGGTCACACGGATGTACGGACTTGAAGGAGCCTGGCTCTCCATATGTGTGTCACTGGTTGATCTTTCTTCTTTTGCTTTGCTGCCTAAGAAGGTTTTTCTTCCCTCGCGGGGTGTGCGGGATGGGAGGGAGGGCAGCCCGGGGACCCCGGCGTGGTGGCTCGTTCTGGGACATCGGCTCCACTCATTGCGGCATTGGATTTTCTGATCTGAACCCCGGGAAGAAAACAAAACTGGGACTTCAGTGTCTGGGGGCTGCTCCAGGAGATACCTCACTGCCCAAAATCTCCAAGAATTCCTGATTTTGCCTTTGTCAGCTCAGCCACTGTGCAAATAGCAT